CCAGAAAGACAAGGGAAAACCATATCAAAATAACAGAAAACACATTTTGCATCCATGGCGGCATCCAAGAGAAAGAAGAGGAGAGAAAGATATGATGGAGAGAGAAGAAGAAGAAGAAGAAGAAGAAGAAGAAGAAGAAGAAGAAGAAGAAGAAGAAGAAGAAGAAAAAGATAGAGAAAGAGAGAGAGAGAGAGATAGTGTGATTTGGTGTGTGATACTATTGAAGTTATATAACCATATTAACAAATGCCTGATTATTTACCTTTACTAGTTTCCGCATGATACCTGATTATTTCGATCCTAACAACAGAAATCGTTAGAGGCGTTGAAACTTGTTACGGTTTTAAGCAGAGGCAGACTTATGGTAGGTAACACTTTGTATATATGGTAGTTGGGAAAATAGAGTGAGAACATGTTATATCACGTTAAATTGCATTAGTAACTTAAATAATTTTACACTATTAGTATATATAACTTAAATCCATTTTGATTAAGGATTATTATCTTATGCAAAAATAACTTGAAATAGAACACAACAACAATATTAAACCTATGTGTAAATTAAGAAATAAAAGAGCTAAAGCAATTAAGCATTTATACATATAGTTAATAACAACAACAATAAGAAGCAGAAAAGAATTCAATTCAGTACGTATGTCTTGAACAAACTTTTCAAATTTGGATTTTTGAGAAAAAATCTTTTCTTGGCGTGACATGTGAGGTAGATCCAGAATCTGCTATCTAGCTCGTCACATGGGATACCAAATTGATGACATTTTTATCATAAGCAAAAAGGTCATCTCGAACAATAGCAGCAATATTGTTCTCGTTATTTTAAACTTTATTTCCTTATCTAATGCCTTGTTTCAACTTGTGGAAGAACCTTTCAGTATGCCTTTTCTTGCTAGAATGGTTGCATGCAATATTATGGTATTTGGACCTTGACTTACTTCTGCTTGTACCTCTATTCCTCAAACCTCTTGTTCTATCTTTCCCCCATTTTTCTATAACCAAGATATCTACTTGTGAGGATGAACCCTGAGATTTTCTCCTTACTTCCTCGTTCAATACACCACTTTTGATATATTTAATGGTCACCTTATCACCAGGAACTGAATTTGCCAATGAAATACGAAGAGTTTCCCAATAATCTGGTAGAGTATTAAGAAACCAATGTCCTTGTACCTCATCATCAAAATTAACTCCCATTCCAGACACCTGATGAAGGACACCCTGAAAATAATTTATATGATCAAGGATAGAACTGTCTTCCTTGTATTTAAAGGCCATCAATAATTTTAGTAGGAACAACTTGTTGTTCTCAGTTTTTGAAGCATAAAGAGTCTCTAGATTTTCCCACAACGATATCGCATGTGTCTCGTACACAGTAAAGTTGCAAACATTGTCTTCAACCCATTGCCATATATATCCATATAATTGTTGGTGCTCGAAATTTCAATCTTCATAAGATATATTTTCAGGTTTATGAGTTACAAAAATGGGTAGGTGCATATTCTTCACGAACAACAAATCTTTCATCTCGCTTCTCCAAATATTATAATTGCTCACATTTAAACATACCATCTTGCTCATATTCGCCTCCATTCCGTGATAATTAGGATAAATAACCAAGGCTTTGATACCACTTGTTAGGATCTAAATAATAAGGTATCATGCGGAAGCTAGTAAAGCATACTTTCAACGATGATAAATCAGATAACAAAAGAGAAATATACCAAAAGAGATACAAATATTTAACGTGGTTCGGTCAATTGACGTACATCCACAAACGGAGATGAGCTTCTACAATCTAGCCATAAGGGGTTTGAGAGTCTTGTTAAGGAGGAGAACTTTTCGGGACAAGTGTTAGTGTGTCACTTGTTTTTGCCTCTTTGTGATATTGTTCTCTTGATATTTTGTACCCTCTCAGACACTAATCTTCTTTCAGCTTCCGCCCTCTCAGACACTAATCTTCTTTCAGCTTCCACCCTCTTAAACTCTAACCTTGTTTCAGCTTCCACCCACTTAGCCTCTAACCTTTTTTCGATTTCCATGCTTTCATTCTCATGTTAATTTTCTAAAGCCTCTAGTTGAGCCTTTAGACTCGTGATTTCCTTGTCCTTTTCTTCTCCCATTAATTGATGATTGCTAATCTGTTTTTGAGCATCCACTAACCTTGTTTCAGCTTCCACCCTCTCAGCCCACTAACCTTGTTTCAACTTCCACCCATCAGCCTCTAACTTTATTTCAGCTTCCACCCTCTCAGCCTCTAACCTTCTTTCAGCTTCCATCTTCTCATTCTCACGTTGATTTACTGAAGCCTCCAGTTGAGCCTATAGACTCATGATCTCCTCGTCCCTCTCTACTTGCACTAATTTTAGATTGCCAATTTCTACCTGAGCATCCTCTAAACTTGTTTGAATAGCCCGTAGTTGTCTCTCCTTTTCCGCAAGTTGATATCTTAAGTCAATACTCATAGAAATCTCCTCCAATGGCGGCGTATCGTCGGGGTCCCTCGTCGACCAAAAAACCAAGCCTCATATTCGCACTTCACTACCCATACCACTAAGCTAAAAATGGATGCTAACCATGGTTGCCATCCATGATAGTCCCGTAAAGCTAACTCTATGAACAACCCCCACACCATGCTCAAAGCACCAAAATCTAAGTTCGATTGAAGACTTATAAGAACAAATATCAGATTCCCAATGATGTCACTGATGTTTAACGCAAATAACCAATGTCTGGCATCGATTAAGAAACCATCCAAAAAAAGCTGCAGCAAGTGGTCCGAAGAAGTTGCATACCTTTCCAAAATGTGCAGGTATATGATTTTTAAATCTACGTGTCTAGTAAGTCTTTATTGCATTGAAAAAGATAGCGAAGCATAACAGTATACCACCAAGCGCGTAGAAACCTATTTTACAGCTCTTGCTGGTAGATACGAATTTAGTGAGAACCTCTACGAAAATGCCATAAAGAAAAAAGAAAACCAAACCAAAGTAATGGGAAACACATTTTGCATCCATGGCGGCAACCAAGAGAAAGAAGAGGAGAGAAAGATGTGAGAGAGAGATAGAGAGAGAGAAAGTGATAGTGTGATTTGGTGTGTGATACTACTGAAGCTATATAACTGTCTTAACAAACTCCTGATTATTAGCCACATGACACCTGATTATTTTGATCCTACAACAGAAACCGTTAGAGGCATTGAAGTTTGTTACGGTTATAGCAGATACGGACTCAAGATTTGAGCGTAGTGGGGGCACCACTATCATGTCAGCTAGTAATGACAAAATCTGGCATGCTAACTCCTTACAAAATTAATGACTATGAGTTAGTGACCAAAAGGATATTCAAAAATATCAAACACTTAGTTAATAAGATCAAGATTAAAGGTCTGTTAAGCAGTCCAAGCAAAGTTTCAATCGTTACCGTTGAATCGACGGATGTCTGATATTTTCCAAAGCAATCCTTGAAGGCAGAAGGGTTTTTTGGAAAATTTTATTACTGTTTTTGGAGAAAACTTTGATGAATTACTTCTTTTATACATGTCAAGAAAATGATAATGCTTATAAACTTAGTTATTATGATAAAGATGGTGATTGACTTCTTGGTAATGGAATATCTTATCCCCTTCCAATTTCCTTTAATCCTTTTGTCTCTCTATTACATTTTCGATGTCTGGAAGCATGTTTCTCAAAAGGAGTTTTAGACTATTTTGCATAGCAGTTGACCACTATGTACTAGTGCTAAATTATTGTTCATGAACGCAAAAAAAAAAAACCCCAAATTGAGTATAGTACACTATCTTGAATTCAAAGAAGAAAAAGAACGAGGAGTGCTGGTGTTAGATCTTGAAGCCAAGTAATCTTGTAAGGGGGGAAGTAAATGCAGTATGATAAACCAGCAGAGCAATCCAACTTTTATGTTTTAGGGGTACATAAAAAATATTTAAGAGGTCCTTGATATATATACAAATATACATACACGATTTTTGCCGAAACAAACCGGTTCCGGTGACCCTTCTACTCCCATGTAGGTCCACCTCTAGTTATAATTAAGTTGTATCTACCAATTTGAAAGTTTTTGTAGTCTATTTTTCCTTGACATTATCATCACCAGTTGTATAAAGAAATTTTAAAAGGAACAGAAAAAATTTGAGTTTAATCATTCAGCTCTTGGAAAGTCTTGAAAAATCTATCCACATTTTATGCTCATGTAAAAGCAACTATTCGAAATCATTAAGAAGCCATTATAAGAATAAACTCAAGGCAAAAAACAGACTCGAAAATAAAATCTCTATAATAAAGTATTGGAAGAGAGCGAGAAATTCGCAATTCGTCTCTCTACACATTTGGAGAGAGTAAAGTAGTAGCAGCCTATGGTACAAAGACAAGAAAATCCAGAATCATTGGTCAACAAATGTTCGCTAATTAATGAGTATGGTTTCACTTCTGCTGTTTCAGCTTCTAGCAAGTCAATATTTTTTAGTTTATACAGTTTATCAACTATAGATATCATACATAACTGTGTGTTGGTTACGTCCGCAAACGGGCGGGTCGAGTCGGATATGGGACAGGTCGAAAACGGGTAATAAAAAAAGGATGAATTATCCGATCCGACCCATATTTAGTACGGATAAAAAATGGGTTAACCGGCGGATAATATGGGTAACCATATTATCCATGCTTCATGAGTATGATCACTTTTGGGAGAATTCCTAGTCTCCCAAACTTGAGGAACCCCCAATTTGAGGTGTTGCAAATGAAAAAGTTAAACGCATTGACTATTCATTTTCTAAATGGATAATATGGTTCTTATCCATATTTGACCCATTTTTAAAAAATTCATTATTCAACCCAATTTTTAGTAGATAATATGAGTGGCTAACGGTTTTGTTTTAACCATGTCATGTCAATGACTCTCCTCTTTTATGATTTCATATGACCTGTTTAAGAACAATAGAGACCGGATAAATGAAAAGAAATTCATGAATTTTAGAAACATGTCTCAGAAGGAGCAACATACACAAGGGTTCTGAATTTCGTGTAATGCTGAAAAAATTAAGAGAATATATTAAAAGGTAAAACATATCTATTTAGAAAGGGAAAATTATTAAATCTGAGAAATGCATGAGCAAACATATGACCAAGTTGAACTTGGGCAGGGGTAGTGAGATGAAGGCCATCTGAACCCAATTCTAGTCCCTCTGCATCTATTTTTATCACATTTGAGATGTTAATTCCCAATTGAGCTGCTCTCACTTCTTCTATATATGGCCCTACGAATGGTTCCTTTGGGTATGGTATGATAACCTGTATATATTGTAGTAACAATTAGTCTAAGAAACTGCAAATAAAATATTATAAACCACAATTTTAGTAAGAAATAAATAAAATATGTCTAAAAATTAGAAATCGAAGAAAATTTATGTGACTCTCCAAATAATAATAATAGTGACATTCTTCCCTGTTGGAGAGAGCATAAAATAAACTGCAACAAACCACAAAAAGCCTTTAGGAAAATGTGAAAAATTTGACGGTAAAAAGAGCAAAGTTGATATGCAATTCCTAACACACTAGACACTAGTAGTTTAAAAGAATTTTACATTTTCAGTCACCAAAAAAGTAATTACAGGCATTCATCCATAATATTCGGGATTGGTAACTTGGAAAATGATGCAGTTAACATATACAATAGGTGTTATGCATAAATATTGTAAAAAAGATGAACAGTGTCAGTGTATATAAGTTATAAATATTGAAGATCATAATGAGTACAGTCAAACCTCTGTATAACAGTCTCGTTTGTTCCAATATTTTTTAGCAAATATAGTGTAGTACTGTTATAGTGAACATATATTATAACATAACATGAAAAATTAATTCCAAAGAAAATTTAACCGTTATAGTAAAATGTTGTTATGAAGAATGATTGTTATAGTGATATCTAAATGTACCTCGAAAATGGGGAGGGTAGGAGCATGTAAGTCACTACGCAAGTCTTGAAAGAAGTTATCCAAGTTTTTCTTATACAAACTTGATGTATTCTTTGATTTACCATCGCTCTCCCCATGATACCAAAATAATGCCCTAATATTTCCTCCATTTTTGACAGCAAATTTTGCTCTTCTAATCAAAGAATCATAAGGACTAGATCCACGTCTCCATTTATGTAATGGTGTGCCTCCTTTAGCGCAAGGTACTAGACCTATAACACCAAATTCAGGATCTTTTTTAAGTATCTCATTAGCAAAAGCCATTCCAGGTCCGAGTCCACAAGCGCGTAAACAATCAATCCCATAATTCAGTGGCTCATGAGCTTTTTCCCATTTTTCAGCTGCATTGAATCGTAAAATTTTTGGATTTGGTTTACATTCTTTAGGCACAAAACCATCCCAACTTAGATTGGTGACAACCCCACTTTCAATTTGCCTATGGACTCCTCCATTTCCAGCCATATTGCTTTGTCCTGCTAATATGAACACTTGTAAATTCTTATTGCCACCTTTGTGGCTTTCTTTCACTTTAACAGGACTCATCACCCAACTTATGTTAAAGAAAAACACAACTAATGTAACAATCAATATAACTTCTTGGCTCTTACCTGGCAACATATTGTAGTGTTGACTCTATCTAGGATGAGAAAATAGCAGGTTGAAGTGTTAGCTTTGAATCTTCTTGTATTTGTTTATTGGGGAAAGTAATGTCCACGTTCTGTGTATGCATATTTGGTTGATTATACTAACTTTTGAGTAGGATAGCTATTTTGCCAATTTCATCAGCAGAAATGGACAAATGAAATGAATTTTAAGTGCTTTCTTTGGTAAGCCACTAAAAGCATTAACTACTAATATTGCCTGTTTTTTTTTTTTTTTAATGTAACATAACAATGAAAAAATAATTTTACTGACACTTTAATAATTTCTCAAGAAAACAATTTCTGAAATGCCATATGTAACAGGAAGATTAGAGGTTAGGTATAGTATAAGATATAGTGATAAAGAAATGTTGTCTGCTGGTTTATCTCCAGGAGTGAGACTGTGAAAGAGTGAACCAATTAATTAAAACTAGACACAAACAAATGAACCATAACACCACACAATTATAGAGAGAGACCAAAAGAGCAATTAATTGTGCATAGTTATATGGTGCTTAAACAAATTTGCAGAAAAGATTAGAACTTAGAAAACTCATGTCTTGAAAGGTGTGGAAATTATAGTCTTTTGGTATTATTAGTGAAAGGAAAGTACAAGCACCACATGGAATAATAAACTGCATTGGTGAAAGTAGCACATTAATCATCCTGATGAAGGAATAATAAGGAGTATTTACATAAATCAGAAATAGCAGAATAATAATCTCTTCTTCAGTCTTGTTTCAGTGCATTTCAAGCACTAAAGAAGCACTATACAGAAATCATCATCAGCCATCTTTGTTTGGATCACCTAACTTTCAGCTGGAAATGAGGTTTTGCAAATTCAGTGTACCAAATGAGAGACATCAAGCCGTAGCATGAACTTATACATTCTCAATTGGCTCAAATTTGCTCTCTCATCCCACAGAGACATTTTCAAGAAGAAGGGCTCTTCTTTCCCTCATTTCCGAAGGTACCAATAGGTTTGGCCAGAATGTGCTGCATTGCTTTGACTCCTAGTGGGTTGTTCTTGCTCTGTATCAACAAAAACATGATTCCATAAGTAAAGGAAACAACCTTAACTGTTAAAAAGACTTGCCGAAGACTATATAAGGAGACAACAACACTTCCCCTCAACCAATGCGGGACAATCTAACAATAACAAGCAGAGATCACTTACAATTGAGCAGGTGCCTGCTTTAACATTGCAGACAGGATAATCATGTGGGCAGCAACTGTTATGGTCTTTACAGCAAGTAGCTCCTTCCATGGGACAACAACCCCAAGCAAAGCAGTATTTATAGTACTCGTAGACACAGCAGCACGTCGTTCCAGCTGGGCATTCGTTATAATCATCACATTGAGTGGGCGGCTTGACTGGTGGAGGAGATGGAGCTGGTTTTGGAGGGTTTTGGCCTGTCTTTACAGGGTAAGAAGCAATCGTAGCAATACCACACAAACCCTTGGGGTTGCCAATGTTTCGCTGCATCCTGAGGTAGCCCTTTTCACCCCACGAAGCACCCCACGAGTTCCTCACAATCCAATAATCCATGCCATTTTCACTACCATACCCTACTGCAACCACACCATGGTCCACTGCTGCACCACATTTTCCGGTAAAGATACCCTGGGGCATAGGCGGATCCAACATTTAAACTTAATAGGATCAACATTTAAAAATTTTAATACTGAACTCACTGTAACTTTGAAAATACAGAAATATTTGTTGAGCCTGTGTAAACACTAGCTAATTCGATTAAAAGAAAACAACTTTACTGACAATAGGCAAATCTGAAGTAATACCGATTTATAGTGCTGGAAGTCTTTGCCACCAGCTTCGATAGCAACGCTGACGGGTTGACCAGCAACGGCCTTTTTCAGTGCCTTTTCATCATTATCAGGAACATCTTCATACCCGTCGATGGTGACAACCCTGGCATTTTTCTGCAAACAAAATATTAATAGTCACAACTTGTATTTAGTTCATTTCCTATAATCCCTTTAAGACAGAGAACACCATACTGACCCTTGCTTGGTCGCATTTTCCATCTTTGGCTTTGTAAGGATAATCTTCCTCAGTGTCTATTCCTCCATTTTGAATGACGAATTTAAAGGCATCGTCCATTAGACCCCCTTGACAGCCTTGGTTATCGGACGTATCACAATCTACCAGCTCTTGTTCAGATAACGAGATCAGATTACCTGTCACTATCTTGTTTACTGCTTCAATTGAAGCAACTGCTGAGAAAGCCCAACAACTCCCTGTTTCATTTCCCAATTGCAACACCAATTACGAAGAAAATTATTAGTTGCTTTATGTGATATAAACATATCATTTTTTCCTCAGCATTTACTTATGCATAAAATGGAAGATAATCCAATCAATCAAGGCTGCATAATTTGCCAAAACAATTGACACAACTAGACATAGTGAAACAACTCCAAGGGTGTTTGATGGGGGTATATCGGACTACAGACCAACAACAAACCCAGTGAGTTCACACAAGTGACGCAGCCTTACCCCTACCCTAGAAGGGTAAAGAGTTTGTTTCCGATAGACACTCGGTTGGAGCTACAAACCACTGATTAGTAAATATTTAAGGAGCGAGCTAAAAGAAGGATCTCAGAGCAAACGAAGAAGAACCCCTTTTACAAATTCAATTTACAACCATAAGATCTTGAACTTGGTAGGTACTCCATAATTTTAATTTTAAGGTAAGAGAAGCGACAGCCAAGAAAAGTGCCAAAATGCCTATCCAATATTAAGAACTGCATTTAAACCGAAAATTAGACCACTAACAACTAAATTCCCGAAAAACACAGATCAATCCGAAGTTTACTTAATGTTTCGGTTTCTTTATAGTTCTAATACATTAAAACAGAAAATTTTCATTTTAAATTGAATAAAATAGCTCAATTCCGGAAACTAGTGTTTTGTCCAAGGGAAAAAAGCATTACTTATATTGCCACAATTAGATGCGGAAATTGGAGCAAAAGTTGTCAACTTCATCGTGCTGACCTAATTAATCATACTTAATGTTAAGCTAAAATTTACAATAATGCAGGGTCAACTGAACTTGCCATTAAAATTGATCTTAGATTAAAACTCATGACTCTGTGATTATTTTAATATCTTACCTTATCAAACTACTAAAGTTTCCAAATTTCCATCAAAGCCATCAGTAAAGAAAGCATGGACAAACTTTAAACAGAAAATAAGTACGAACAAAAAGGAAAACAAAAACAACAGGTGCAGAGTCAAGGCAGAGGGTAAAAGGAAAATACCACATTGCCCTTGATTTTTGACGTCAACAAGAACACCTTTCTTCCTCCAGTCAACGGAATCCGGCAAACTATCTCCGACCTTAGGGGCATAACGGTCACTTTGGGTATTTAACAACCTGCTACGACCATCGGGCTTAGTACCCAAGTAGATGGACTTGTACTCCTCGTTGGTCAAATCTGCAAACTGGGTCAAACCCAGCTTGTAACTTTTATCGGGCACAGAGTTATGTTCATCGATGTATCTAAGGTTATCTTTAAAGATCTGAAACCGTTTGTCCTTTTCTCCTAAGGCGTTGTACACTTTCTTATGTTCAACTAGCCAAGATTCATATAAAGACATGACTTCATCGTCTGTTCGCCAGACCGTTGACTCGCCGTTCGTGTGATGTTTTTCGTTGTAGCTTATAATGGACATGTCCTCCGCCGCCGATGATGATACGACGGAGAACATGAGCATTACAAGTATGGAGATGGAGAGAGTGGAAGTATGAATCGCCATGTTTGGTTGTTTAGTACTGAGGTAAGGAAGGGAATTGGAAAAAGTGGAGAAAGAACAGTATTATAAAGGGATGGAAAAGTAGGGATATTTTGGACAATTGGAAAGGTGCATTATTTAATTGTTTATACAGAAAAGATAAGATAGTTGAATATGTAAATTACTTGTAGGAGAAGATTGAATAGGAAAGAGAAAGAAATTAGAAATAGGAAGCAACTAGGAAATGAGGGAGAAGTTGGTTAAACACAAAAAATTCTTTTGAGAGGCAACTACCACGGTGAAAAAAATATACTCCTTTATTTCAATTTATGTAATTTTATTTGATTGGGTAGGGAGTTTTAAAAATCAGAGAAAATTTTTAAACTTATAATATAAAATAAAATACATATTTTATGTAGATATAAATTATTGCATAAAAGTAAATTATTTTTAAATATAAAGAGGGCTCATTCTTTTTAGCACATACTAAAAAAAAATAGATTCAAATAAATTGAAACAAAAAAAAGTATATTTTTAGCTGTTCCTAAAAGTAATAGTTGATATATATATATATTTTGAATAGCAAATATAATTAATTTTAACCGACTAATCTATTTTGTATTTTGTCCGAAAAAAAAGAGGGGGGGAGGGAACTAGCATGTGGAATGCATGGATAAGAAGTTAAAGGATAAAGTCAGATCTAATAAAAATGACAAGTACAGGCGGCGAAGAAGAAAACGAAAAGAAGCGAAAAGGCAAAAATGAATGAAAGGAAGAAAAGCTTTTGGTTGGTGAGGAGGGGAATTGTTTTTGTCTTTGAGCTTTATTTCTATTCATTCACGGCATAAAACATTTTTACAATCACCTATAAAGTAATCATAATATATTGTTTGTTTAACCCGGAAAATGATTTTCAACGTTAAAGTAATAAATTTTATATGACGGATCACAAACAAATTCTATCCACCACTTTTTGTTAGACCAATTTTAAAAGCTAATAAGCAAATGCTACCAATTATGCGCTCAATACCATCGACATCATGTGCCTTAGAAGATCACCATGATGTACCCAGTTGGGAGGAGCAGCAAGGAACCACCAAATGGACACACGATTGCACATCAGCTACTATCAACCTCCTTATGTT